CGGCCTCGTGCGTTCTGCTTTCCTCGGCAGTGAGACAGAACAACTGGCCGCCGCTGCCCTCCTTCTGCCCCGTGAAGCCCTGCTTCTACCAGGACATCTCGGTGGAAATCCCCGCCGACTTCCAGAAAACAGTCTCCTCCATGTACTACCTCTGGATGGGTGAGCGCTAGGGAAGGGCCCAGCGTGCTGCGGACATGGGAGGGTGGCGTCTGGGGGTGGAGCCTGCTGCCTTTGGGGGAGGGGCGGAGCGGGCACATCCTGAAGGTGGGGCTGGGGGCGGAGCCTGCTGTCTATGGAGTGGATCTTGCTGCTGGGGGTGGGCTGAGGGGCTGCCTAACCTGCTGTTTCTCTTAGCCAGCACCGTGACACTCTTCCTGAACTTCTTGGCCTCGCTGGCCTGGTTCTGCGTGGATTCCACAGCTGGCTCGGGCTTCGGCCTCTCAATCCTCTGGGTTCTCCTCTTCACGCCCTGCTCCTTCCTGTGCTGGTACAGGCCAATGTACAAAGCCTTCAGGTGCGTCCCTGCTGGGAGTCTTGAGGCTGGCGTGTCCCAGAGAGCCTCTGCTGCTTGGCCCATGCTGTCTGCTTTTGGGGCATGGCTGATGTGATGGGCTGTGTCTCGGGGAGGGGAGGGCTTTCTGTGGGCGCTGGTGACTCCTCAGACTCTTCCGTGTTGTCCCGAGGGCTTCTGGGCAGTGCCCTGCCGCTAGCCCCAATAGGAGAAAAGGATGTGCCAGATCGCCACGCTGGCCCCTGGGGGCGACTTGAGCTGCCCTGCCACGGCTGCCTTTGGGGCTTTGGGAGGAGCAGCCTGTGCCCAGCTGCTTAGCAGAGCACCCACAGCAGGAGTGTCTACTGGTGGTGCACATCGGCACATGCCTCAGTGCACAGAACAAAATTTATTCTGCGCACGGATGGAAAAATTAGAGGGAACACTGACCTCCCCCCCATTTCTGGCTCCAGGGTCAAGTGTTGAAGCTGGGGGTGACTGACTTGTGTGGCTCTGTGGGGGGTAAAGCAGCCAGCCTGGCTGTTGCCTGTGAGGCCTGTGTTCCCTGGCCCTGCTGGAGCATCTCCCCTTACGACGGGGTTGCTCTGCCCCAGGGGTTTTCAAATGATGGGGCAGTCCTGGTGGTGGGTCAGATGCTGCAGGAGGATCAGGGGAACAGTGTGGGGGGGATTGAGGCAGCTCCCTGCCCGTTCTGGCATTGCAGACTGCGCTGCGCCCCAGGAGTGGCCGGCAGCAAGCCTGGCTCTGGGGGTGGGGACAGGGCTCCGTGCACTGCCCT